GCCGACTCTAGGGAGGCCTGTCTCTGACTTAGGTTCCTGCAGAGAGGGAGATGCCCAGGTCTTCGTAGGGTTGTGTCTTTCAGCAGCTCTGGTCTGTTTCGGGGAACTTGTAGGGTACTGTTGCAAAAACTGGTTCTCGTTGTTGGGGTGCAGCTCCACTTTGATCACCCGAGGCTGAGAGCTTCGAGGTGGCTTTGCGGGACTACGTGGACTAGCCTGGATTTGGGGACATAGTTCCTCTCGGATTGGTGCCGTGGTTTTATTCTGGAGGGGAATCAGGTTGTCTGGCACCCACTCAGGGCTGTTTGCTGAAGAGGAGGAGGTGGACGAAAGGGGGGCTTCAACCACCACTGGCAGCAGGGGCTGTCTTGGCGTTGGGGTGGGCTCATCTTCCTCCTCATCTTCCTCCACCACAGGTTCCACATTATCCTTTTCCTCTTGACAGTTTTGTTTGCTAGTGGACTTTTCCTCCTTCTGACTTTCTCTCTCTTTGGCCGGACTATCCTGTTCCTTCTCTGATGAAGGTAGCTGCTTCTCTTCCTCCTTGAGCTCTTTGTTTTCCCAACTTGGGTCCAGATCCCAACACTTGCCATGATATTCCAAAAAGCTTTTGGTTCTTCTACGAAATGGAGGAAGTTGGGAGTTGTCTTTCCCAAACTCTAGCCAATCCGAAGAAGGATTATTGAATAGGTCATTGTGGATTTTGTCCACAGTATTGGCCCTGCTCAGCTGTAGCTGCTGGCTCTCAGCTCGCCTCTGCATGTTTGCTCCATTCTTCGCCAATTTTGGGTTAGTTGTATTAAAGAATGATGAGGATGAAGAAGATGAGGAGTAAAGGGCAGAACTGGATGAGGACTTGGTGGGAAGTCCTCTTCCTTTGGTAAGAGGTTGGTACTTGGACGACAAAGCCAGATTGTCACTTATCCCCATGGCACTCCGCACACTCGTCATTGCGTGCCTCTGACGGCTCTTAGGCAAGGTGGCCGAGCTCCCGGTTTCCATCGATTCCTTGATGACGTCACGACCAAGCAGCTGGTTGTAGGATGAGCGAAGACTAAGAGAGGTGGGAGGAGTAGCCGAAGGTGTAGTGCGATTTGCCAGACCCCCGGTGGAGGGGGAGGAGCCAGAACGTGAAAGGGGAGGAGTTTGGATTGACGTCATGTCTGAATAGAAATATACAGTTGGGATGGAGCTGTTGGGAGAAAAAACACAACAAAAATGTAATTTTTTATATATATATATATATATATATATATATATATATATATATATATATATATATATATATATATTTTTTTTTTTTTTTTTTTTTGAGAGAGATAGCTCTGTAACTTTGCTTTGTTTACTACAAACATTTTATTGTTTTGACAGTTATTCTATTATTATGCACAGCTTTGAAATAAATATACAAAATGGCAAAAATTATACTGTCAGGTCAAAATACTCCTGAATTGGATTGTCCACAATAACCTATTTTATGTGGCTTAAATATATGCACCATAAGAGTTTAACCAGACACTGTGGCTCAGATTTTGTATTGAAAAAGAAACAGCAGTAGAACCATGAGGCTGAAATAGACATGCGCGATATATAAAATGATTCAGACCCTCGATCCATTCAGTCAGGACTCACATTCAAAGTGGGAGCTGAGGAGTAAAGCTGTTCTGTAGGGAGAAGAGCTGCAAGCCAGCTCCTGCTAACAAGCTGTCTCTTTCATCTCTGGCTGGATCAACTCTACAAAGCTGACCACAGATGGATTGATAGGAGCAAAAAGAGTGACAGAAAACCATTGCAATCAATTTCATGACACATGCAAAAAAGTAGGTTGCATCACTAACTAACCCTCTTGTAACCCCTTTGGAGAAGCAGGCAGGTAAACATTTCCCAACAGGCAAGCCAAAAGGATAAACATCCTGCCACCTAATCACAAACTAACCTGCCTTGTACATTACTGCAGTCATCAGGGCCCTTTTATCTTAGAGTTATGGAAAACTCAAACACAGCAGATCTTAAGCTGTGATACAATCATGGAAAAAGGGAGGGGGGAACATTTTAAACAAGAGGCGAATATCTAGACGGTGCATTATGCTGCTGCGGGGCCTCTATCTGCTCCCTATTTGGCGGCTGTGTTGTGTTGTCCCCTCGAGCTACACAACAACCTGTTAGTGCTGAATCTGTATTCATCTGCAGGTCTGTGTCAACAGGTTTAAACTACCTTCACCGAGGTCTCCAATGTCACAACAAAACCATTATTCTAATGCAAGACTGGACAACAATTAAGTCAGAAGACCCCTGACAAAAATATTGTTTGTCCACAAAGAAAAAAAAAAGTTTAACACATCTTTTTACTAATTGCAAACATCAAAAAGCCATAGAAATATTACTATCACCGTTTAGACTTTTTTCCCACTGTTAAGACGTTGTCTTTGTTTATCACAACTACAAAGACTTTGTGATAAACAAAGACAAAGTAGCATTTAATTTAAAACATATTTTAAATAGTCATAACAAATACCTCCAGAGGTCAACTTATGTATGTAAGTGTGCAAAGTCAATCTGTGTGTAAGCTTAGTATTTATTTACCATTTCCCAAGCTTACAACGTTCTACGGAGAATTGTGAAACCGTTACCTACTGAGCTTTCCAGGAATCCCACCTTGATTTAATCGCGGCAAAACGAAGGCTACTACAGCTGAGTCATTCCTCTTTGGGTGTTGACAAAAAACTGACAGTGCAGAACAGGTTGTCTCATCAGTAAAACACGGTGGTGGGAATATCATGCTGTGGTTAACAAAGAAAGGTAAACTGATCAGATGCTTAGGCCTAAAAACAGCTTGAACGGAAAGGAACCCTGTTACATACCACTTATGATTTGAGAACAGGGTGCAGATTCATCTTCTACTAGAAAACCAACCCTAAACATACAGCCAGAGCTACACTAGAATGTTTTTGAAGCATATAAACATCCTATGATGGCCTAATCAAAGAATCTGAGTCAGGTTAACAACTCATTTTCAGACCCCTTGCGTGTTAATCTGTAAAGAGAATCAAATCCTGAAAAAGAAAATAACACATTGAAGTTTCGTTTGCAGCTTAAGTGATTTTAAACTTAAATTGTATAGGCCTATAGTAAACGACACATATCCATACATTTAAAAAAAAGGATTGGTTGAAACGAATTCAGCTTCACATTGTAATCGATCACAAAGTTCACACAAACAGCAGCCTTTCCCTCCCTGAAAAGCCTTCCTTTGATGATTCAGCCAGGTCTCCAGTAGTTATTGGCAAAGTGGGGCAGAGACAGGATGCGGTGGAGAGGGGGGGTGTATGAGGAGAAAGGATGGTTATTAGAGAGAGAAAGAGAGCAGAATGACACAGCAGTTTGTAGGCTAGTGGGACACAGTCAACACAAAGAGATTGTTATGTTTCCTGCAAAGTGGTCCTAAATAAATCTGCTGTGCATCGTGACAGGGGCTGTTATTCAGGAGTGGGGGAAGATGCTACCAGCAGACACATTGGACATCATCTCTCTGTCTGAGTTTTCCATACTGGATCTTATGTTAGAGTTAAAATGTTTGCTGACTTTCCTTTTGGAGGTGGCCTTTCTCATAGATCTCCTTAAAATGCTGTATGACATTAAAAAAGAAGAAAATCTCCTGTTGCTGCCTGTTACGTCTGATCAGTCTGTTTTCACCTGAATATTTGATGAACTCAATGACATTTTTTTTTTTACATGAAGCCAATTAGTAATGTGTCTCCTCCCTCCCTCCTCAACTCCCGAGTTGTTCTGCTTCTGGTAAAAAAAAAATAAAGAAAGAAAAAAGAAAAAGAAATGCAACAGATGAAAGCTCAGGATGGGAAGAAATTGAACTTGCAAAACTCGATGATGTCATGGGTGGAGTATTCCTGCGCCTGCTTTCCTTGCAGCCTCCATAAACTCCCTCCTTGATAACAGAAAGACTAATCCTATCTAATCTACCTTAAAACGCTAATGGAGAATTGGATATTGTATATAATATAATATAATCGGTATATTAGGAAGAGCAGATATTTAATGTCTGTCTCTTCTCAGCCCCATCACCGCCGCACTGGGAGGGGAGCGCATCCCAGTTAGAGCATCTATTTACATCCACTCACCGCTTCGCTCAGCTGTCCGCGCCTCCCGTCCTTTCTCACAATGACGAGGCACAAAGTAGCGAGAAGCACAGGAGTCAAGCGCTGCTTTTAAGTGACAGTCTCGCCCGTAGCTCTGAGCCGGGCCGCCCGCATCAGATCATCCCTCCGCCCTGTCCAGCCCCGCGGCTCGATGCGCTGCTGGCGGCCGAGCTGTGCGCTCCCTCTCTGCGCCAGTTGATCCCCGGAGCGGCGCGGCGTGGCGCTGTGGAGCTCCTTCTATCCCTCTTTCTCTCTCAGCTCATCCGGTCAATGGCAGACGTCATAATACATCTACAGGAGTTAAGTTTCAACTCGGCTAATTGAATCACGCATCATCAGGATGTTACATCACGCACACTTGGAACGCAGGGCGTGTTTTAAAGAGCCAGGCTTTAAAAATAAAAGTGTTGCTTCAAATCAGAAGAGGATTTTATTTTTACATTTTAACCCCATTTATTTATTTATTTTTTTTTAGATACAAATGTCTTTAATTGACTTGGAGTTAATTGAATATTGGATTAATGGAAGCACACCTGATGGAAGAGTATTGTTGATCATTATCATTTCCATAAAGGTTAGACCAGAGGTCTATATTTTCATCTATACCTGCTTGTTCTTGCAGAGTCAGTTGATGGGAAAAAAAAACAACACATATAAACCTAAAGGTCAATTTCAAATGACCAAATAACCAAAAAGTCCCATTACTTGAGAGAAAGAAGTAACAAGAGTCAAGCATAAACAAGCATACAGGGCACAGCCTTGTTTGGCTTATTTTAAATAAAATTACACACCCTAGAACTTGCACAGAAAGGACAATTCAGAAACGTATTAGTTTTTTTTTTTTGTTTTTATTTCAAAATAAGCGCTTCACATAATAACATCCTCTTAGAAAATTAACACTGGCATAAATGTTAACAGGTTGGCTTAGAGAACAGTTATCTTTAAAGTAAGAGATATCACATTTCCCAAAGACATATTTTAAATGACAGTGCTTCAAAAAAGATGAGAAACCTCCCAGCATTATTTGGCAAGAGTACTTCTTTCTATGAGATTAACCCTCCGTAATTGTGCGGAAACAGAGAAGCTTGACATAATAAGGCAACGCTGAATGAGAAAACCAAAAGACATTACTAGCCTTTTGGAAGAGTAAAAGCTTTTTCATTGTCAGACTTTATTTTAAACCATCTTCCAGATGTGAGCTATAAAACACTTATCCAGACCTCACAGTATTTGCAGACCCAACGCAAATGACCAATGTTACACTCAGTCTCTGAAATACATTCCTCGTACTTGTTTTGCTTTGGTTCCTGCCACCTATCCTATCCCAACTGTCCACTGACAGGCTCTCCGCTCCGTGCCTGGGGGGTGGAAGTGAAAAGGTGCAGAAGACAGGGATGGAGGGGCAAACAGGCAGCTGGTGCTCCGGGAGTGAGGGAGGAGAGGAAGAGCGGAGGAGGACAAGACACGACTGGCAAGAGGAGAATGCGACTGGAGGCGAATGTCGGCTGAGGAGAAGCACGGAGCTGAGCGGATGGAGCGAATCGATGTATCTAGTTTATCATATGTGAGAAAAGAGAAATAAAATGTTAACATCAAATACACCAAAATGAGGACTAATGCAAATGTTTCCCACAGAGCAGCTGGACCCACCTTTACTGTTTGAATGATAAGGTGTCAGTAAGCGCTGTGCTTGCTTGTGTCCTGCTTGTGCAGCTCGTGTGTAGAACTCAACTGCAGTCTTTACATTCTGTGGCACACCGATGCCGTTTTCATAACACTGACCCAACAGGAACAGAGCAGAGTTATCCTGAGAAAAAAACAACACAAAATTAAAGCTTTAAAAATTGCATTTTTGATCAAATTAATAGTTTATTGGGTTGAATCTATTTTAAGTCCATATCCACATTAACTCTTTGAACCGACACAGTGATACTGTGCAGGAAGAGTAGTAGCAGACAGTAACAGAAGCAGTACAGGAAATGGCTGCAGAAAATAGCACAAACTGGTGTCTGTAGTAAAGTTTTCTAATGCAGATTGATTCAGAAAATAGGATTGGGAAGGGGTGGGGTCTGAGAGACAAAAAAGAAAGAAAAAAAAACAGCTGATCAACACCTAGAAGTATCTAGAAGGAGACTTACTCCGCTCTCTGCTGCCATCTTCAGATACTGAACAGACTTGCACCCATTTTTGACAGGATCTTGAGAGTAGAAGGAGGCCAGACAGATCTGAGCCTGAAAAAAGATTTAATAATTTATTTGGACCATAATAAAATTCAGCTTTTAACTACAGCATTTATCCTAGCTTGGCGCAATAACATCTGTTTGACAGTAATGGAAGATGTTAAAGAATAAAACAGTTCAGGTGTATAATAATATTTATAAGCCTATTACGGGTAACTGCTGGCTTTTAAATTTCTTTTAGTACAGTTTGACACAATTTTTTGGCATTTGAAATGAGAAATTTAACCAAATAATTTTGTACAAACTTTCTTGAAATTTGGGCTTTTATGAGCACTTAGAAGTTCAAAAGGACCAAATTTTCACAGAAGAAAAACAACAGTATCTAACCTTCCATAACAGATTAACAAAGCCAGCATTTTCTCACTTAAATTAGTTAAATTGATAAGTTAATTTATCTAAAGCTATGCTAATATAAATGAAACCTACTGTGAATGAAAAAGATAGATGTTTACATAACATAAAGTTCAGTAAATCCAAAAGACCATGAGGGTATAAAGCAGGTTATTTATTATGTATTTAACATTATATTAACACTGTACTGTATGCTGTCACTCCAAAGGTTACAATAGAAAGGCTGAGAGCATTTAAAGAAACAGCGTCAGTATCTTTACCTTGGTGAGCCCAGTTTTAGCTGCTTCTTCCAGTAACCTAATGGCTGTGTCCAACTCCTCCAGATTCTGATGCCCCCTGCTGGTCAGCAACAGTTTTGCATAGCGGTACTGAGCTTCTTTGTGACCACTGATGGCTGCAAGCTTATAGTAATGCAGAGCCTTAAAGAACAGATACACATTTAAATAATTAATGCAAAGAGAAATATAAAGCCTACAAAAATAGGATCAGATAAAATGTTATAAAAAAAAAAAAAATCATGTAAATGACCTTTGAGTTAGATTAGGAACCATCAGCTTTGAAACGAGAAACTAAAACAATAAAATGGACTCAACAGCATCCTAGATTCAAGTAATATTATTTAAAAGATCTTTTTTAAATAAAAGCACAAAGCATTTTAAATTTTCACCTATTTTCAGAAAATATTAGAATGACAGGCTGGATAGAGTGTACAAAACTTTGGCTTAGCAATGTGTAAATATAATGTTCATGCACAGGACAACTGGTTTTCTTACTCTAAGAGCTGCATTACTTGAATTTCTTGTGGTTACCTCTCTAAAAAGGCACCAGTTAAACTTGATATTTACATATTTTCCCTCAGGATATTACAGACTTAATAGGTAAAAATAATGAAAATCAACTTGGTCCCACCTTCTTCTCGTCCTTGCCTACTCCTCTTCCTTTCTCGTAACACACCCCTGTGTTAAACTGCGCCTTGTTGTAGCCGTGCTGAGCTGAAGCTAGAAAGCAGCAGAAAGCCTCCTCATAGTTTCCGCTCTTGGCACTTTCTAGACCTGTTTGATACACAGATACAAAGATTTTCACCTACTACAACTAAAAAAAAACAAAACAAAAAAAAAACACAGAAATGGACAAATGCGTCTAAATATGAAGGTTGGGTGATAATCTAACGATAAACTTATGAGCAGATTTTTACCAATGATGTTAAGGATTATGGGAACACTGGTTTCTCCAACACTTCTGAGGTTGTGTGCTGCTTCTGTAACCCGCTCTTTATCTGACACTTCCTAGAAAAACAGAGGCAGATAAAAACAGGACAATTAAAATAGATGTCAACGCTATTGGATCCAATTATAGGTGCTTAAGACGAAAATCTTTTCAGTTTCACCTTCTCTTTCTTTTCTGTGTGTTTTTGGTTAGATTCAGTTTGCAGTCGAGAGCTAAAAACAGGGTTCTCTGTTTGTCAGAGACAAAAAATGTGTTAAACCTTAGTCTAATCAACAATTCTGGCATAGTTTCATAGAATATGACATAAAAGTACAGAACAAACCAGGAATCTGCAAATTGTTGCTCAGGTGTTCCTCCTGGTGGTCAGAGAGGGAACTGTCAGTAGTTTCGCTGCTGCAGCTTTGAGATGAGGATTGATCCTGATTCTGTCTCTCTGGCACAGCCTGCAGGCATAAGACATTTGTTGCTCTGGGCAGGACATCACGTCTTGATACTGTTGACAAAAAACAACAGCACTGTGTTGGAATACTGATCACACAAGGGCATAGGAAAAAAAAGAGCTGTGGGGTGAAGATTGTTTAACGGCTTATAAATCTGGCAGATATTTGAATGTGGTAATATCAAGAGTTAAGTTGTTGTGGGTGTACTACTGCAATTGTGCCAGAAAGACTAACAGATTTCCAGCAGGATGCGGTATCCACATTTCTGCAGAGATGATGGGGCTGTCAGGGTTCCAGGACTGGGACTGGGCTCGGTGCCTGAAGAAAACTTGGAGTGGATCCTTCTGCAGATCTGCATGAACAGCACCGCCGCTGCTCCCTGTGGAGAAACCCCATCGTCACAAGAACATCTAGACTGTATCACTGCCAATTATTCCTAAACTACCACCAGGAGTAGTCACGTTTTTGCTCTGGATACTGATTTCTATCCAATAGTAGGCTAGACTTTTAATGTATTTAGCTTTTAGTTCTAATAAATCATGGTAAGCCAACTTTTGACAAATTGGCTCCAAATATTGGAAAATGTATTTTGATCCCACAAAGCAGCTGCAGACCTACCCATCCCACAGCATCCAGAGCGGTGTAACCTGGAAGCTCGGTGTGCCCAAACTGAAACCTCTTTTCTTTCTTCCTTCTCTCCCCATCATCCTCATGAGATCTGCAAATAAGCAGCACAACAAAAAAAGATTACGTATTTGTCTTTACTACAATTTACCAGCATTTAACTTGATTTTCGTTTTGTGCTAAATTTGTTTCCCTGTCAAACACAGCTTATACAGAGACACATAGGCAGATGCTGCTGGATGATGCAAGCAGCTGGAAATGAAGCAGCATCTATGCAGCAGGTTCAAATGGAGGGTAATAGGGCTGATGATAGCAGAACGAGAGATAAAAGCAGAAGTTTTAAAACCAATGATATGGTTTGGAAAAGGGGAAATCTGAGAAAATGAAGCATTGAGGGAAAGCCACCTGTTGTCGAAGGAGTTTTTAGAAGTGGAAAGAGCAGCTGAGCCGCTGATGACCTCATCCTCCACCTGGTGGGACTGGGGGAGCCGTAAAGTACTGCTGCCATGGTACCGATGCAGAACTGAGCGGTGGAGTCAGCGGGGGGGAAAACAGCAGGAATCAGTTTGACTCAAATATCAAGCTTTTTATATTACAAAGAGCAAAGTTACAGATTATAAGGCTGTAAAAAGATTAATATGGCTCTGAAAAACATTAAGGGCCAAGGGAGGTTTTTCTTAATTAACGAGCTTCTTCGCCTGTGCGACAGCCAATCTATTTCAGTGTCGGTTCACCTCCAACGCATGCATACATCACTGTTTAATGAGGCACTGATGAGGCAATCACCTGAACCCAACAGCCATGTGAAACACTGCTGGAGAATATTTTTCAAGATGAATCAAAACCGCCTCTTAATAACAGCTTTTTCCACCAAATACTGTTCTCTGAAGTCAAAATGTTAGCGCTCTGAGCTAAAAATAAACATGACATGTTGTACTTATTTATTTTTAGGCACATCTTTTTAGGAATTTTGTAGAAACGCTTGGTGTTTACAGAATGAATCAAACTAGTTTCTTCCAAACATAAGGGACATCAGGAAATTGTACCATTTATTATTAGTTTCCATAGCTGCAATTGGTTACCTTATTAATTAAATGATTTATTAGGACTCCAGATGTATTTTAGATAAAAATGCCAACTACTCAGACTGAGAAAGTTAATTTATCTAACCAATAATGTGATTAGATCATTCAACCAAGAAGTACGGTTTTGGTATGAATTAAGACAGGCATCTCTTAACAGATAATGAAAAAATACTACAGGAGTACCATTAAACAGAAAAACATAATTAATATACTAATATTTACATTGTACTTGATTAACCTAATTAGGGTTGCAACTAACGATTATTTGCAAATTGATTAATCTTTCGATTAATTGATTATTAATCAGATAGCCAAAGGTTCCTTAAAGAAGAACTAAACCAGGTAAAACTCAAACTTTTCTACTTGAGGGGTTCTGATTCTGCAGGATTCTGTATTTTGACAGAACATTTTTTTTTTATCTTAAATGCAGAATTTTTAGATATTTATTTTACAATTTTGATATAATTACTACTCTAAGCCAGTTTCTCTATCAGCTAAAGGCATGTTTTACAGTCTATATACTCAAGGTAACGAATAATCAATTACTAAATTAGTTGACGATTATTTCAATAATCTATTAATCGCAACTGATCTGATTTACTGTTTCAGCCCTAAACCTGATAGATATTATGTTTCCTGTTCTTTATTAGAAGTGAAATCTCAGACTTTCAGCAAATTTCAGCCTCCTTATTAGCAGATTGACATTTTATATTTATTGGCTTTTAATTCTGAGCCCTTTATGACTGGAAGGTCTATTTGCAATCACATATGACATTGATCAAATTAATATATCTTAAAACGCATCTTAATTTTAATTCATTTGAAGCTGGTGCCTTAAGTTCTTAGTCTATCAAAGTTTAATATTCTATATGCAATGTCTCTAATTAAAACTAATGTTTTAAATCAGAGACAGTTTCAATCATAGGGGTATTAAAAGCTTTGGGCTTAATTTTACAGATTTTCAGTGTTTTTAAGTTCTAAATAAGATGAACTCTGACTGGATGCAATATTTGTTAAAATTTTACATAACTTTGGATGTGGCTATGTTGTCTCAATTTGTATTCACGTATTTGTTTACATTGTAGTATAATATGAATCCCTGTTTGTGACTTCCTTTTAAAATGTTAACTGTACATGTAGAGACACCAACGAGTTAAGAAATATCACTATGAAACCCAAGTCATGTTAAAATTGTAAGGACTATTTCACTGGTTTAAAGAACACTGAACTTTAAACAGCTTAATTAAAAATCTATTATAGGTTAACAGATTCAAATCTAAACTGGATTTGTCTGCACTTTGTTAAAACAGAAAAGTATTAATTAGCTATAAATCGTGTTGTATTTATTATTTATTAAGTATTATTTTATCATTTATTTAGTAGTTTAGAATAGAAAATCCCTTTATTGTCCCAAAATGGGGAAATTGTGGTGTTTACAGCAGCAGAAGATTATAGTAGAAGTGGTTATACAAATGTGCACCTTAGAGAAGTGTATAAAAATAACAGATAGGAAAAGAAAACAAATAGAGTATTGTACTGAACGGTATTTTTAAAATATGAATACTTTGTACATATTATAAAAGAAATCATTATAATATAAAATAAATCATTAACAACTGTAGACATTTTACATTAATGGGTATGTAAAAAATAGCAGCAACTGGATTATCAGATGCTGGGCAAAGGTTGTTTATATATGAAAACAAAATAATAATAATACTTTTTTTTTTTAATAACCAAAAATGTTTCTAAAAGTGAAAAAGACTTTGAATGTTTTTAAAAAATCTCCTAACCTCTTTGGTTTTGCACTTTGTTCACTGCTTGGTTCATTAGATTATGTTTAATTAAATGCATATCACTGTTTGCATCATTTAAATAATTTATTTTCACAAACAGATTAGTATGTTTAATAAACAGATATAAAAATATATATATTAAATTTAGTTGTAAGCTTAATTTTAACAATTAACTTTTCTCTTTAAGCTTGACTCTGTGGTGGACTCAGTTCCGCTTCATATTTTCTTTAAATGTATAATTTCAGATCAGTTTATTTACAATAATTCCTTATCTAGTTTTATTTCAGAGATATTTAAACCATAATATCCCTGGAATAAACCAGATTAAGATAAAATTTAAATATAAAACTAAAATATATCTGAAACATATTGAAAGACATAAAAAGAACAATGCTCACCCCTGGGTGTTCAGCTTTGACAGGCTTTTTGTTTAGTCCAGGTTTAAGCTGTTCTTATGAAAAGTTCAGAGCAATTAAGTTAAACACTCTGCCTCCTAAACTGGATGAAATCAGGCAGATAAAGAGGAACAGATTCACTAAACCAAAACAAACCTGCAGATGAGGTTTGATGAAAAGTTACAACATGCCTAAATGACTAATGCAAAGCGGTTAATGTTAAAAATGAAGCAGAAGAACCGTAATTATAGCTAACAATAATTCTAGCAAACAATAAAAACATTGCGATATTAAACAATATAGACTGTCATTTGTCTGGTGCCAATGACATTTCTCTCACCTCTTGCGACTAGACCTTGAACTCTCCACATACCGGTTCGTCCTCTGGTGTAGCTTTAACTACTGATTTATTACCGAAATTACATGTTTAACAATAAAGAGGAGGCCGTCCGGTCGCGTAACCAGACAGCGGACGATGGTTATGCATCTGAGTTTGTCCAGTGGTAAAGAAAAACCAAATCAGGTCACGAGCTCTGTCGGAAGACCGGAGGCGGAAGTAGGGCGAATGACGCAACTGGGAAAATAGAAAGTGGTGCAACGCTGCGTCGTTGCCCCATCTATCGGTAGATTAGGGTATTTCAGAAGGTTTATTTTTATTTTTTTGATGAGGTTTGAAACTCCAGCGATTGCTAAAAACAAAACAAAGCACCATATCTTATTTAAACCCGCTGCAATTTTACGGAAGAGGATTAGAGCCACTGAAAAAAAAAAGTTAAGATTTTTAAATTTTATTGCAGTATAATATGAGAAAAAAGTCAGATTTCTGTCTTTAATCTCAGAAGTCTGACAGCTACCAAACATG